CTCTACGTAGGAAGGGACAACCCCTCGGCGTAATAAGGTGCCGCCGCTCACCTTGGACCTGTTGGTTTGATCAAAACAACTCTATCCATCATTTTACCCTTTTGCCCCTGTCATTGGGATGGGTCGGCCTGTTCCATGTTATCTGTGGAATGTTCCGGTATAATGTGTCTTGGTACCATGTTTATACTGTAACTATGCAACATCAGCCCTTTCCTTGCCAACTTCTGTGAGCAGGGCCTGCCTCTTGCTCACAGCTTAACTTTGCTTCATATTAGCAAAGTCTTGACCATTACTTTAGTTTGGTTCAGGCCTCATACTGGGCCTTCATTAGGCCTTTACTTACTACATTGCCTTCACTTACTACAAGGGTTACCATATTTGCACAGTCAAAAAAGAGGACACGGGGGGGAGGAGCCCTGCTCTAGTCCTGCCCCTGCCCTGCCCCGCCCCCAATCACTCCCTCCCACCCCCTGACTGCCCCCCTCAGAACTCCCAACTCCCCCCTGCTCCTTGTCCCCTGACTGCCCCCTCCTGGGACCCCTGCCACTAACTGCCCCCCTAGGACCTTACCTGTCCCCTGACTGCCCCGACCCTTATCCACACCCCCACCCCATATTCACAACCCCACCCCCAGACAGACCCCTGGGACTCCCATGCCCTATCCAACTGCTCTCTGCCCACTGACAGGACCCCCAGAACTCCTGACTCATTCCACCCCCTCTGCTCCCTGCCTGCCTCGACCCCTCTCCACACCCCTGCCCTCCTGACAGCCCCCGCAGAACCACCGACCCATCTAACCCCCCCTGCTCCCTGTCCCTGACTGTCCCAACCTCTCTCCACACCCCTGCCCCCCGACAGCCCCCCCCCGAACTCCCGACCCATCCAACCCCCCGTCCCGCTCCCTGTCCCCCGACCAGGGCCGGCTTTAACAAGAGCCCAGGAATTGGGCTGCGCTCCGGCCGGAGTCGCGGGGTTTGGGGCCAGGCTGGAGATGCTCGGCCGGGGCCGGGCCGGCTGCCCTGGGTCCCAAGCCGGGCCGGAGTCGCTGGGGTCAGGGCCGGCGCGCTCGGCCGGAACCGGAGCCGCTGGGGCCGGGGGTGCTCAGCCGGCGCCGCTTGGCCGGAACTGGGGCCGGTGCCCCAGGGCCCAAGCCGGGCCAGGCTGGAGCCGCTGGGGCCGGCCGGGACGGAGGTGCTTGGCCGGGGCCGGGCCGGCCGCCCTGGGGCCCAAGCCGGGCTGGAGCCACTGGGGTCAGGGCCGGCGTGCTCGGCTGGAACCGGAGCCGCTGGGGCCGGGCCACGTTGCGCCTCCCCGGAGCCCTCCTCCTCGTGTCCCCCCTGCCCCAGCTTACCTGCTGCTGCTCGCAAAGATCTGATTCGCGGGAAGCAGGGGAGGGGGAGGAGCAGGTGGGCGGAGCGTTCAGGGGACAGGAGGAGGGGGAAGACAGCTGCGGGGCCGGGGGCATACTAAGGCTGCAGGGGGTGGGGGGAACCAAGAAGGGGCTTTGGCTGCCGAGCAGCGCCGCTTTTCGATCTATAAATAGCCGACCGGGGGGAAATCCCGGACATTTTTAGATTTTTAGAAATCCCCCCCGGACGGCTATTTATAGATCGAAAAGCCAGACATGTCCGGGGAAATCCGGACATATGGTAGCCCTAAAATACATGGGGTGCCCCAGTAGGCCCGGTTTGGGCCTGATTAAACTAAATCCCTGCCTGATTTAGTTGGGGTTGGTCCTGCTTTGAGCAAGGGGTGGGACTAGATACCTCCTGGGGTCCCTTCCAACCCTGGTATTCTCTGATTGTATGGTCTCCGCCCAGCAGGCAGTATGCGGGGTGTCCCAGCCCAGCTTATCTGTCCCTTCCCTCAGATGAACACGGAGTACAAGGCGGCACTGGCTGGACTGCAGGTGCAGGACATTGAGGAGTTGCGGAGCTACCGGTTACCCCCAGCATCCATCCTCAGGGTGACGGATACCCTGTGCATGATGTTCAGCAAGGACCCTGGCTGGGAGAGTGCCAAGCAGCTGCTGGGCCAAGAGGACTTCTACCAGGTGCCGGGAGGGGCTGTTGTATTGATTTAGATGGAGTCGGTGGGCCCAGTTGCTGTCCAGCATTGAGCAGCGTTAAACAAGTGTGAGGGCTGGCGGGCGGAGCCCTGTCCCTGCCTGGCACCACAGGCAGCACACCAGCAAACATCCCTGTAGCCCATTAGTAGCGATACGGACGAGAGGGGAGGGAGCTGACCCTCGCCTGTACAGCAGTGAATGAGGCTTTTGTTTGAGTGGCTTCCCTTCCCCTTTGCCTGTAGTTGAGCAAGTTTCAGCAGGAACCCCCTGGTTCAGCAGGCCTTCAGATGTATCAGAGATGCTGATAACGCTGTTTTTGGGGGTGTGACAATGCGATTCTGGCGAGACCCAACTGAGAGTGCCAATTCAGGACAAATCGCTTAAAACAGGGCACTTACAGCCCAAGGCTGGGGTTTTTCCACCTCTAAGGCACCAAACCAGCCAGACTAAGAGGACTTTGGTCTCACCCCACTGGCTAACCACAAGTCTCACAAGCAATTCCCTCAGACACTCCAGTTTCCCAGTATCACCACCAGTGCCACTCGTTATGGGGACAAATGGTTATGAAAACCAATACCCCAGTAAAAGAAAAAAGGTTCTCTCGATCCCAAAGGACCAAGCCCCAGACCCAGGTCAATATACAAATCAGATTTTACCCACAAATCACGCTGTTGCCAATCCTTTAGAATCTAAAATCTAAAGGTTTATTCATAAAAGGAAAAAGATCTAAATGAGAGCCAGAATTGGTTAAATGGAATCAATGACATACAGTAATGGCAAAGTTCTTGGTTCAGGCTTTCAGCAGTGATGGAATAAACTGCAGGTTCAAATCAAGTCTCTGGAACATCCCCAGCTGGGATGGGTCCTCAGTCCTTTGTTCAGAGCTTCAGAGGTGTGAAGCAGGATTGAAGACAAGCTGGAGATGAGGCATCAGCCTTTTATAGTCTTTTCCAGGTGTAAGAACACCTCTTTGTTCTTACTTTAATTTATTTATTTATTTATTTATTACTGTGGAAAATTACAGCAAAATGGAGTCTGGAGTCACATGGGCCAGTCCCTGCACACTTTGCTGAGTTACAAGGCGTATCTGCCTTCTCTCAATGGGTCAATTGTATAGCTGATGGTCCTTAATGGGCCATCAAACCGGCTAGGCAGAGCTGACACCAACTTGTCTGGAGTGTCACCCAGAAGCATAGCATAATTTTGAAATACAGACAGTATAGTCAATACTTATAACTTTAAATACAAAAATGAGATATGCATACTGATAGCATAATCATAACCACCAAGCCATAACCTTGTCTTAGACACCTTATTTGACCCCCTTTATACCAGGTTTGGTGCCACTACAGGACCTTGGTTGCAACAATGATCTATATGGTCCCAGATCGAATATTGATCAATAACGTCACAGGGGGAAAGCAAGGATGTGAGCTGAGAGGGGTTGGAGCTGCTGCTGCTGTACAGTTCCAGCCCATTTCAGCTCAGGTGGTGGCCAGGATCGAGCTGGAGCCAGGGTGGTGTGGGGGAGAGGATGTATCTGGGTCCTTTTTGTCCCAGGTTGGTCAGGACGTCCCTCAGGCCTAGTAGAGAAGGCCCCGGGTCCCAGGAGATGGTGGGCGCGGCAGATGCTGGTGACATTTGCTCGAGTAGCCTCCATCTGTTCTCCTCCTCCACCAAAGTCTCTTTCTCTAAGGACCCCAAAAGGCAGTGATGGCAGAATAGCCCACCCCCTCATTATTTTGTCCACCAATCAGGCCTAATATCCAGCACACCAATTTTAATTGATTAATTTCCAGTTCCACGTCATCTGATTTTTACCAAGCATGATTTTAACCCAGTCCTGGAGTTATATTCCCATGCCTTCTGCACCCCGGCAACGGGGTGACAGTACACCCCAGTTCCCAGACTCCTCAGCACAAGGCACTAGACAGGTTTATAGGAACACCAGACTGGAGTTTATTGAGTGAAAATGCTTCAGATAAAAGCAAGTGCAAGGGAACATGAGTTTATAATTACACCTCTACCTCGATAGAACGCTGTCCTTGGGAGCCAAAAAATCTTACCGCGTTATAGGTGAAACCGCATTATATTGAACTTGCTTTGATCCACCGGAGTGCGCAGCCCCGCCCCCCCGGAGCGCTGTTTTACCGCGTTATATCCGAATTCTTGTTATATCGGGTCGCGTTATATCGGGGTAGAGGTGTAGCTTCATCCACAAAGTATCAAGTATCAGGGGGTAGCCGTGTTAGTCTGTATCTACAAAAACAACAAGGAGTCTGGTTGCACCTTAAAGACTAACAGATTTATTTGGGCATAAGCTTTCGTGAGTAAAAACCTCATTTCTTCGGATGCATAGAGTCACTGTGAGGTTTTTACTCACAAAAGCTTATGCCCAAATAAATCTGTTAGTCTTTAAGGTGCCACCAGACTCCTTGTTGTCTTCATCCACAAAGATGACATCAGAATGCATTCAAATTTGGACAAGTGTTTCTGAATAGACTGAAGTTCATTTTGAGCCTGTGCAGTGAGATTGAGAGATTCAAGCTCATTTAAAGCCTTTCTCACCGAATTCAAATGTTGCGCTATTGGTTGAACACCATCAATCCATGCAGACCATCTAGTTTTGGACCTCCCATGCAGTGAAACAGGAAGATATTGCTTCAGAATTTCCCACCTTTGTGGACTGCTACTGAAGAGATTGTACATTTGCTGAACAGTTCCAAAGTAAGTAATTGCCTCCTTGCATGATTCAGCCCAGTCAACACCTACAAGGTTTAGTGTGTGGTTTCCACAGCCGGAGAAAATACAGTTTGAATTATGCTCAAGCAGAACTGCTTGTACACCTGTGTACTTCCCAGCCACATTCGATCCATTGTCCTAGGCTCGACCAATGCATAGCTCAAACTCGTTTCACAATCACCAATACATTGACTGGAACCAAAGAAAGCCAATCCCCAATCAGAAAGAAAAAGGATGACGTTCAGGATGCGCTCAAGACCCTATGGGGTCACAACCCACAGTCTGGGAACCACTGCAGTACAGTGTCAGTGGTTTTGAAGAGAGGCTTGGCTTCATAGCAACGTCCTGAAATTCAAAATGATACAACTTACCTGCGTGGCATTTTACTCCTGGGGCAATTCTGCTCCACCAAATAAAAAATTCTGCACACAATATTTTTAAATTCTGCAAAATTTGATATATTTTATTTGGTTAAAATAACACCATATCATCGCGTCAGTTTCAATTATTTGGGTAATTTATTTCAAAATACCTGTCAGCAAGTTTGTAACAATACAGACAACAAAAAATAAATGTTTTTGAGAAATAGATTCCTTACTAGGCATATTAATACAGAACTGGATTTCCCGCCTTGGGGGAGTCGGAATAACTGAGGAGCTGAAGGGGAGGGAAGTAAATTGCTGGGAAGGAGCCTGAGTGTGAACCTGGAGGGTTGTTGGGTGTGGGTGGGAGAAGTATGGAAGACCCTGGCTGACCCCTAGCCTCTCCCAATCAGTGAGACATATCTGCCCCCATCCCCATGTGGACCAGTATCCCCTGACTCCCGAGTCCCATGTGTCTCTGCACCCCACTCAGCCACCCCCATGTACCCCCCGCTGCCCCTAGTTCCCATGTGGCCCTGTACCCCCTCAGTTAGCCAGTCCATCCGCATGTGACCATGCATGTGCCTGCCCCATGTGGTATTTCACCCCCACTCCCATTCCGCTCCCTCCCCAGTCTGTCCCCTCCACTAGCCCTTCTGAAACTCAGTCTGTGACACACACACCCCCCAGCAGCCCCATGTGCCCTGCTCTGTTGCCCCCTCCCCCCCATATCCAGTGTCTCCTCCCCTGGCCCCGCAGGCAGGGTGCTGTAAGGAACGCAGCCTCTCCTCTTCCTTCTCTGCAGCTGGCTGCTACGGCTGGTGATCCGGCTGCCCTCTGTTCTGGTGCCACAGTAGCCCCTGGTGGGCGAAAGGCGAAACTGCAGTGCCTCTCTGGCAGAGTGTATTTTCTGCGGAGAAAAAAAATCTGCGGGCAACATGAATTCTGCACATGCTCAGTGGTACAGAATCCCCCCAGGAGTAACCTTTCTACCTCCTATCAAAGATCTGAGTGTGCACGTAAGAACCAACCATACCACTTCCATGTTTTATGTAAACAGGGAGGAACCAGGTCAATGCTCTGGTGCAGGAAAGCAATGCACAATGTAACACTAATGGCAGTTCATCTTCCAGGCCTACACAACATGTTCGCAGACCATCTAAGCAGCATTTTCAGAATCACAAATGGTTCACAAAGGATTCAGGTGTCAAGTCCACTGTCAATCAGAGTGTGCGCCCCACATAGATCTTTTTATAGCTGAACAGAACAGGAAAGCCAAGTATTTTGTTCCAAGAGAGGACAGAGTCCAAGTTCTCAAAGAGATGCCTTCTTAATCTCGTGGGCTCAGGGCCTGTTGTATGTTTATCCCCCAGTTCCATGTGTGAAGGAAGGTCAAACGGTACAGGGCCTCAGCACTGGTTCATGGAACTCAGAAATCTCTGAGTGACACCTCCAGTATCGACACGTTTCTGTCAGACTTGATTACTCAGAACAATGGGAACATTTCATCCAGATGTATTGTCACGGCGTGGAGAAGAATTGTTCTGTTGATGTACAGAGCCTATGGATTCAGCACAGAAAGCAGTCCGCAAGGACAATTTGTACTGCAGAAAAAAGCGTTTGTTTTTCATCCAGGGCTTCCCAACTTGCTCGTTCCCCAAGAGAGACACCAGAAAGCTTATGCTCCCAATACTTCTGTTAGTCTTAAAGGTGCCACAGGACCCTCTGTTGCTTTTTATATCCTTGAGTGTCTATTACCTTTAAAAAAACCTCCTCTTTGTCACAAAGCACATTGTGTGTTCATTTGGCTGCTCTCTCTGGCTGTCATTCATCAATTCAGGATCATGCTGTTGTTTCTCATCCTTCAGTCAAAGAGTTTGAGAAAGGTCTTGTGAGAGTTTCCCCTCTGATAAGCTAACCCCCTCCCTTGTGGAATCTGAATGCGGTATATACAGGTCTGATGGGACCCCCATTCGTGACATTGGCCTTTCTCTGTGAAGATGGCATTGCTCATTGCCATGACATCAGCATGGAGGGTCTGTGGACTGGAAGCTGTCCATGGGGGAACTTCATGTCTGACTTTTCCAAGCATAAAGTTACACTCTGGCCACACCCTACATTTCTCCCAAAGTAATCGCTGCTCTTCACGTCAGTCAGACCATTCACTTACCTCCTTTTTCCTGAAGCCTCGTTTAATCCACGGAGGTGCTGCCTTACCTACTGTCGTTGCTTTCTGAGCTCTGTCATGTTATTTGCCTGGAATAAAACGAGTCAGGCAGAGTCCCCTAGGCTATTCATATTGCCGAGAGAGCCAAGGGTCAGGCAGTCTGACTCAGAGACTCTTTATGTGATGTGGCCAATTTAGAACTCCCAGGTCATGTTAGGTCACATTTTCCCAGAGCCAGGCCACTTCTGCAGCCTCTCTTAGGGGAATGCCCATCACTGATCTATGGAGGGCTGCTATTTGAGTAGTACACATACTTTCACTGTTGCTCTTTGGTCATGCATCTTGTTCCTATGCCCAATTTGGGAGGGCTGTGTTTGCAGTCTTTGTCTAATTAGACTTGGAGTATCCTCCTCCATCTACTATATCCTGCTTGGGAGCCACCGGAAGAGAACCCATGTAAAGAAGCACTCAGAGAAAAGGAAAGTTACTGTTAGTAACTGGAGTTCTCTGAGGTGTGGTGTCTACGTGTTTTTCCACAAGCCATTCTCCTTTCCCTGCTACTCCCAAGGCTTATCGCCTGGACTTGATAGCGGAGCAGGCGCTGAGGGTTGGTTGGTCACTCAGCCTCCTTCATACGCTCGAGGAAGTAGAGGCTTGAGGTCATCAGGGGAGCAGGTGTGACGAGCGGACACTGCTCGCTGATCTCTGGTGCCAATGATGCAGGCACCACTGTAGTGCTGCACACATACAAAATGGGAAATGACTGCCTAGGAAGGAGTACTGCGGAAACAGATCTGGGGGTCAGAGTGGATCACAAGCTAAATATGAGTCAACAGTGTAACACTGCTGCAAAAAAAGCGAACATCATTCTGGGATGTATTAGCAGGGGTATTATAAGCAAGACACAAGAAGTAATTCTTCTGCCTCTGACTAGAAAAAATGAAAATAGAAAATTAATGGAGATATCCTATCTGCTAGAACTGGAAGGGACCTTGAAAGGTCATATGAGTCCAGCCCCCTGCCTTCATTAGCAGGACCAAATACTGATTTTGCCCCACATCCCTCAACTGGAGTATTGTGTCCAGTTCTGGGTGACACATTTCAGGAAGGATGTGGACAAATTGGAGAAAGTCCAGAGAAGAGCAACAAAAATGATTAAAGGTCTAGAAATCATGACCTATGAGGGAAGAGTGAAAAAATTTGGTTTGTTTAGTCTGGAGAAGAGAAGACTGAGAGGGGACATGATAACAGTTTTCAAGTACGTAAAAGGTTGTTGCAAGGAGGAGGGAGAAAAATTGTTTTTCTTAACCTCTGAGGACAGGACAAGAAGCAATGGGCTTAAAATGCAGCAAGGGAGGTCTAGGTTGGACATTAGGAAAAACTTCCTGACTGTCAGGGTGATTAAGCATTGGAATAAATTGCCCAGGGAGGTTGTGGAATCTCCGTCATTGGGGATTTTTAAGAGCAGGCTGGACAAACACCTGTCAGGGATGGTCTAGATAATACTGAGTCCTGCCATGGGTGCCGGGGACTGGACTAGCCAACCTCTCGAGGTCCCTTCCAGTCCCTAGATGGTTCTGTGAAGACAAGCCCGGCATGGAACTGGCAGGAATGAGGTGGTTTGACTCAAGCAGCAGCCTGGTTGGAAACCCAAGTCAAATAACAAATTGAATAAAGTCTACACACGTGAATGGAGGCTCTGAAGAGACAATAGAAACCACAATAGCTGGGACAGTCACCCCTAGCAACCAACAGCCAAGAGGACGGCCATTTCCCCCACCTCTCGGCAGGAAAGCAGGGCAAAGGCCCCAAGCTGGAGAAACAAGGCAAGGGGTCAGGGCCAGCTCTCAGAGACATGGGGGGCTGGCTACAGACAGAGAAAGGGACCAAGACAGAGGAAGGGAAGATGGTACCTGCAGGAGCCTGGCTCCAGGGAGCCCTGGCGTGGGCCAGTCTGAACTCTCAGCCTTTGCCTCTCTGTGATGGCCTAAGGACTTTCAGGTGACTGATAAATTGTTACCTTGTTTGGGAAGGCTGCCTGGTGGTGCTGCACAGACTCATTACGAGTGTAATCAGGGCAATGGTCCTGCTATTGTGGGGAGCTTTCCTGGCTTATACACCACGACGATGCAATGGGCTAGTGAAAGGAGCCGAGTCCTCGCTCCCGCTCCCGCTCCCTTACCCAGCGGCCTGCCTGACTCTGACCCCCGA